AGCCACGCACATGATCAGAGGTCAGGAAAACAGACCTTACAACAAGAGGCTGAGAGCCATGGGGCTCTTTAGCTTGGAAAAGTGCAGGCTCAGGGGCGATCTGATGGCCACCTATAAGTTTATCAGGGGTGTCCACCAGGATCTGGAGGAATGTTTGTTCACCAGAGCAACCCAAGGGACGATGAGGCTGAACAGTTATAAACTACTGTAAGACCGTTTCAGGCTGGACATAAGGAAGAATTTCTTTAGTGTCCGAGCCCCCAAGGTCTGGAACAGCCTGCCATCGGAGGTAGTTCAAACACCTACATTGAACACCTTCAAGAGCTTATCTTGCTGGGATCCTATGACCCCAGCTGACTTCCTGCCCTTTGGATGGGGAACTGGACTCGATGATCTTCCGAGGTCCCTTCCAACCCTAATGTCTATGAAATCTATGAAAATCTGGTCCGTGGGCTGCATTTTGTCCACCCCTGCTCTAGAATCTAGGCCTTACTGTTGGGGATTGGGGCCCTGAATTATTCTGCCAGTTGCTTAATGTATTGTATCAAACTAAAAAATGTCTCTAGGCTCTTTGCAGAGTTCAAATTATGCTTTGACTCTAGGGCAGGGGTGGGCAAAATAGGGCCCATGGGCTGGATCTGGCCTATGAGGTCATTCTTTCCAACCTGCAGGGCCCCTAAAAGTTTAGGGAATTAATATTTATCTGCCATTGGTTCCTGTCAAAAATGACAGGAACTAAGGGCAGTAGGACCCAGGGGAAGCTTGGCGGGCTCCCACAGCAGCAGGGCCTGCCTGGCCTTGCCCCCCCAGCCGGAAGCCTCAGCAGGGGCTTCTGGGCCAGGGCCATGTGGCTGCCTCATGTCGGAACCTCTAAGGGGGAAGGGCAGGGAAGGAGCCCAGGGAAAAGTCACCTGGGGAAAAGCTGGGGGGGGGGGGGGAAAGCAGCCCCTTTCCCATCCCGTGGGAGCTGCAGCCCACATGGGGCTGCCTGTGCTTGCTCCACACAGCCCCGCATGGGCTGCAAGCACCTGCAGCAGGGAGTGTCGGCCATGGAGTGGGCAAGGGGCTGCTTTTCCCCACGCTCAACACCAGCTTCTTCCCTGCCAGCAAGTAGGGGGTCGGGGCTGTGTACTGCCCCCTGCCTGTACTGTGGAGCCGGGGGGCACTGGGAGTGAGCAGTTGCAGGAGCCAGCGGGAGCTTGGGGCCTGCACTGCCCGGGGCCAGTGCCGGCAGGGCTCAGAGCAGGGTGGCAGGAGCATGGGGTCCCGGCCAGCAGGGGCTCCATGGAGCCAGGCCAGCTCCCCCTTCTCCCTGCTGGTGCAGCCCAGCCCGGCTCCACAGACCCCTGCCAGCCTGTGCCCCACCGGTGCTGGCCCTGGGACATTGGTCCCAAGATGATGACCGGGGGGCAGGGCACCTGTCAAGGGGCAGGGCTACCCATGTGGCCCTCGACAGCCTGCCAAAACTGGGTAAGCGGCCCTCTGCCCAAAATAATTGCTTACCCCTGCTCTAGGGGGAGGGGGGAGTCTGCAAAAAAAGAAAACAAGGGCTGCCCATCACAATGTCCTAATAAAATCAGAGACACCCCCTCCCGTTATGATTTTCAAATCTTATAGGGGGTCTCTCCTCTCATATGGGGGGGCTCAGCCCTCCTGAGCTCCCCTGTAATTCAAACCCTGGCTCTATGATGTGAAGTGTGGGTTTGTTTTTTTAAGAGTAGTATGAAAAGTTGTTTGTTATAAATACCAGAGACTCTGTAGAGTTTTTCCCACACAGCAAAGTGAAGTGGTTTCATTATTGCTTCTCATATTGTTTCCTCATGAGAAACTGTTGCTTCCTTAATTGGTGTACATAAGCACATACCCAAGTCAGCCTTTTGTAGGCCTGAGCTCTAGCTTTACCCTTTGTTGCAAGTTTTTGTCTAAAGGTAATTCTGATGACTGCCCTGCTTGGTGGGCACAGAGGTGTTGAGGAGAATTTGATGAGACTGTCAGAGTTCTGGAGCTCATTTCTGTTGAAGAATATGCTTCTATAGGGGCTTGTTGGGCCTCATCTCTGTGTGACAAGGGATGAGATTGGGAAATCCATTGCTATTCAGGTAGCCTGGTTGTTTTTCACCATCAGCTCTGCAAATGGTTACAGTGTTGTAGCTGTGTCTGAAGTCTCCTGAATTCCCTCAGATCTTCCTTGCATAAAGCCAGTGCTGTTGACCTGTGTCCAGAGATGAGGTCCAGAGATGAGAACAAATATGTTGGCTTTGTTCTTCATTGACTTGTTACCATTTCCTAGCACCCAGGGATGTGGTAGTCAAGACAGATGTTGAGATACAGGCAGGCATCTGTCTTGTTTAGGGAGCACTGCAGAAGAAACATCAGCTGGAAGTCTGGAAAGAACAGGGATTTGAGCTGGGGAGCAGGAGCCAGATAAGAGCAGAGATGCTACTGAAGTTTTTCAGAAGCAAAAGAAGCTTGCTGTCCCGAAGGTGCACATTTATGTATGTAAAAATGACCTGGGAACCCCAATACATAAATAGCCTTTGCTGTGCCACATCAGCTTAGACCATTATTTATTTGCCCCGCTCAGAAACTTGCAAAATAGCCCCTTTGTTAAATACATGCTTCCTATAAACCCTGATTCTAACATAGGAATGGGGTAATGCATTTTGATTGAAGAATCTGTACCTAGCTAAAATTTGAGGGTACATTTAAATTTGTTCTTATTATATATAGAATTGGACTGTTAATTTGTCAGACTCTCTAATTTCCTGATGCTTTCTGGGCCTGTTTAATATATGAATGAGGTGCTGCGTACGTACATAGGGTTTGTACTGAAATTTATAGGTCTGGTAACAATAATTAGTCATAAAATAATGTTTGAAGAATACATAACATGTACATACTGAAATTTGTAAGATTCTGTTTAAGTATTAGTCTGTTCCTTGCACCTGTTGAAATATTAAATTAAAATTTCTTAGAATACTGATCTTTACCTTCAAGGAGTCCAAATAAACATGGAGTCTGCTAAATTTTACCCCTTGCGCTTCTTAAAACATTAATATTAGTACTGAATGCCTGTTTCGAAGTCCCTAGTCTTCCTTGTCTTCAGCGATCCAGATTACACTAATCTAACAACCTCAAAGACATTCCTAAAAACTTTAAAGTAATAATATATGGAAGACACATATGTATCATAGACTTCATGGAAAATATTTTCCAAAATTTGAATACAGGACTTGGTGGCAAAAAGTCTCATTTCATACTGTCACTGCCCATGGAGTCTGATACTTTGTACCTGTGTGTAGTCTCAAACATTTTGGTCTAACTTGGTTGAAATTTAGCACTCCAAGCTGTGTACAGTAAGATAATCGCAAAGGTACCTCAAAAGCTTATACCATTTACGTACTTGTATTTTCAATAAAGTATAAGGATTTGGTTTAATCTGTTTTTGACACTTTTTCTTGTTTGGTAGGTTAATAAGGGATGCAGTGATGTATATGTATGTATTGTATAGAAATAGCAAATGAAAACATGTGACTTCCTATGCAAAGCAAATAGCTAGTATATAATGTATTCTCTAATGCAGAAAGGAGTATGAATAATGATGCTAATTTTGGTTAGTTAAATCTTGCTTAGTAAAAAATGATACATGGTAACTAGCCATTTATGTCTGAATTAAACCACAGCTGTTAAAGATGAATAATATACCTATGGCAAGAGCCAAGATGAAGTCCTGTAATGGTTAATACATTTCCCATTCAGCAGTGGCTATGTAATACTAGACAGTGCAATGGAAATGTCAGTTGTGATAAACAAAGTGTTCATCCAGAATGTCAGAGGCTTATTTGAATTATTTAAGACCACTGGAGTCTAGAGCCACACCCACAGAAATCTTACTTTGTGGTGAAATGAACTACTATAAACCCTGTAGGTTTCTCTGCATCAGCCCCAGTGGAGCTTAATTTTTGTTTCAAAGATAAAAACATCTGTATATTTTACATGCCTGGAACTTGGAAATTCACTATCCAACCTGGAGGAATGTTTGGATACAATCCCTTGGATAGGTCAGGCAATGCTTAGTTTAATTCCTGGAAGAAAAATTTGCTCACGGGCAGTGTGCGTTAGAAAGAGATTTCCTTTTCTTTCATGCCCACACTAGATAGAACTTGTTGAATGGTTGAGCATAATAAGCAATGCTTACCTCTGGGAAGCTGTATTTCTTTATTTCCTCCTCCTCCCCACTCTGCAGTGTGCACATAGAGCTTGAGAGGTTTGTGTTTTTGCCATGGGCTACAGATCCTTTTGGGTGGTTATATCCAGGGTGGATTGGGATGTGCAGTGGTGCAATTGCATTCCCCCTCTTTGATTCCTGCTCTACCCAAACTTTAAAACCAGCTTCCTGGGAGAGGCAGCAACATCTCTATTTAGGTTCCAGTGAGAGAGTGAGTTGACTTCATGGCTCATTATCAACTCCAAGTCAGGCTGATTTTTCTTCACTCCATGTGTTTCACTATTCAAACTATTCTTTCTTCTGCAATTTTGCTCTCTGTTAGCCATTCCTAGTAATGTCTCTCCTATTTCACAGCCCTGCAGACTGTTTTTAGTTCGAGCTAAAAGCCTACTCGGGTGTGGTAATATTAAGTCAGATGTAGAAATGATTGATGATGAAGTATTGGAGGCACTGTTAAGACCCTCAAGATAGCTAGCTTTTTGTTTTGTGAATCTCAGTGAGACATACATTTAACTGTCACCTAGAAGACTAATAATGCCATATCTTTTGACTCTGTTGACTACTTTTTGTCTAGTTCGTTGTGGTTTTTAAATTTTACATATAATCTAACAAATCAGTGCACATTCCCATTGTTATATTTGCTTTTGCGCCATTCTTAAATTGAATAATTTAGCACTAATCCCTAGTATATTAGTAAAGCTTCTAGTTTCTCTTTAACTGGAGACAAATGTGTCCTGGTATACGTTATGATGTGCCACACATTCTGCACCTCCTTTTTTTAAAATCCTGGATCTGCCCATAGTTACATCTTTGGTAGTTCAAGTAAATTTATTTGAAACTTAGCCATTTCTCCCATATTTTTCTTAAAGAAAGAAAACCTAGCTTGACCAAAACACAATGCTGCAGATGTAACAAAGAATTCTGCACTTGGGGCAGATTATAACAGTTCTGCTAATGTGCAACAGGTCACCTTTTAACTTTTCTTTCATTAGACAGCTATGTAAAGTTGAACCTTGTGTTCCAGATTGCTCCTGCTGAAGGACCAGATGCGAAGCTGAGAATGGTTATCATCACTGGACCTCCAGAGGCTCAGTTTAAGGTAAAGTATAAAAATGTCCCTCCAGTTTGTTAATATGTAGCAGACTTGGCCTGCAGGGGAAAACCAGAATCATGAAATGTTGGATTCTGCGGAACCTTCTTATTCAGAATTTAGTGAAACAGTTTATTCCATTCCTGTCCAGCAAATAAATTTGATTTGGGTAAAGAAATTCCATGCCCTTATCCTGGTAGTCATTGGGAGTTTTACACAACTTCAGTGTGAGCAGAAGCAGACCTAAGAATAAATGGCACAAATAGGAGGCAAAACATCCTTCGAGTTTCCCCTGATTTCCCCTTCTCACCTAGGAGATGTAATGGTCTTGTCTTTCCATTCTGTGTTACAAATTTACTAGACAGTGTATTTTAATTACAGTAATAAAGTTGAAAAGAAGTTTGATGCTCTGGGTTCCCTAGGTGACACTCCTGTTCTAGAGCAGAACTATTTTGGGCAGCTTTTTAGATTAACAAAATGGCTGGTTTGATTCGACAGCACAGTTAAACTGAGATGCCCCAACCTTGATTTCCCACTTCTGTTTAAATCCAAGGATCGAGTCACTTCCCAAAGGGTAATGGGTGAGTAAGGGAGAAACAAGGACACCAACTCTGTTACTGTTAATGAATAGTAAAAGTGTGCCAGAGGTCAGGAGTGATATTGGAGACAGTCATGCAGCAGCCTGATTGATTCACAAGCGAGGCCTACAGTGGGTGGAAAAAAATTGTTCAAGGTTTTGTAACCTGTTCTTTCTTAGTCACATCTTTTCTCAGCTTTGTACTTGTTTCTGGCAGCAACTTGCAAATGGTAAAAGCAGTTTTCAGACTATATAACATTAATTTACTATTTAACTTGTGAAGAAAGATCTGGGCACATTTTTCTATAGTCGTAATGCTGTTTAGCCTGAACTGAATAGTAATCCCACATAAAAGTATTCAAAGGGGAGGTAAGAGGTCCCTCAGCCTAGCCTGGTTAAGGCATGCCAGTTTCTTTAGCCAGCAACATAACAGAGAATGTTGTGGCTGGCATCACGCCCCACTACCTTTGACTTGCCAGTCAAAGCAGGGAGGTACCAGTTACAGCTGGGTCCATGGCAGGTAGCTTTTGGTGCAGGTCTGGAGAGAGAGTGAAACTCGCAGCTCTGGAGCCAGAGCAAGACTCTCTACTATCTATCTTCAGATTTGAGGGATTACTGTGAGTAAAGGAGGCTCTGAAAAGTAATAGAACGTGCAACTTGGTGACTAACTTAAAAGCTGTACAGATGGAAACTTTGCTGCTCGGAGGTGCAGGAGATATTAGATTTTTTTCAGATCGAAAAAAATGTGTGGGGGTGATATTAGATTTTTTTCAGATGTCTGTTCAGGCTTTTTCTCTGACCCAAGAACTTCCCTGTAGCTGAGGACACAATGTAGGATGACTGCAAGCTGAACTCACTTACTTCTTGGTGAATAACTAACGGTTCTGTTCCCTGCCCCTTCCCCCCATTCAAAAAAATTGTTAGGCTTCCTTTGCCAGTTGACTTCAGATTTTTAGTGTTTACAACAGAATACTAATAGGTTTGCACCTCATCCAAATAATAACCTAAAACAACAAACTTTGAAGTCTCCTGGCTTTAAAATAAGTATAGCTTGTGGCACTGCTATGCCCATCAGTAACGAAAGCAATCCCAGTACCTGTTATGCTTTGGAGAGGGCCATGATTTGGGTTGACATGGGCACGCTAGAAGGGAAGGGAAGAGTACAGTGGGACCTGGACAGGTTACGGGGTGGGCAAATGAAAATAGGATGGGATTCAATACTGACAAGTGCAGGGTGCTGCACTTAGGCAGTAGGAACCAGCAGCATACCTATAGGCTAGGGAACTCCCTTCTTGAAAGCACGGTGAGAGAAAGAGATCACAACTTCATTATTGACTCCAAGATGAACATGGGCCAACAGTGCAAGGACACGATCAGTAGGGCTAACCGTACCTTATCTTGCATCCACAGATGCATCACAAGCAGGGCTAAGGAGGTGATCCTCCCCCTCTGTGTGACACTGGTCAGGCCACAGCTGGAGTACTGCGTCCAGTTCTGGGCACCGCACTTCAGGAGGGATGTGGACAACGTGGAGAGGGTCCAGAGGAGGGCCACTCGCATGATCCGGAGACAG